ATTGTGTCCAAGCTATACAATAGTACAGAGTTCTTAAATCGTTGCTGATTAAGGGGCAATCGTCTTGTGCTGCGGGGTTGTCGCTCAGAGCAAATCTGGGAACCGCAAAAACCCACTGTGCCAATCAAATTTCTGCACCTTGGCCACTTTGCTGCAGGTTCCTTGACAGTAAAGGTGTAGCATAACGGTTCGACGGCTGCCAATTCGTACGTTTCTAGCTGTGCATTTAAAAACAGGTTAGAAACGTTGTTCCCTGGAGAAGCACACCGACGCATCGCAACTTGTTTACTGAGGTGTCACCAGTGGATGAAAAAATTATTAGCTTGAAGCACGGTGGTTACCTCTCAGCAATAAATGAAAACTCTACATGGACAGAAATTTATGAAAAATCTGCATTCTCCGCTACATTGATTTTCAATGTGGGTCATGGGAAGGCAATTTATAATCGTTCTTCCATTCTCTTTCAGCTGCCTGAAAACCTTAGCAACATTGAATTAAACCGATATGGTTCCGAAGGGGCACAAACAACCTTAAAACAATTTTAATACTCAGAAGCTGCATACAGAAATTCGTGTGCAAAGGGTGGTAGAACTCGGTCCGCAGTACGTCAGAATTAACCGCCCAGTGTTAAGTCGCGTTGACTTTGTCGGTCAAGCCATTAAGGCACGTAAGCAACAAGACTGAGCTATTGCATGTATATGGGTGGGTCGTTTTTTCTAACGAAACTCGCACAGGACGCATGCCACGCACACCAGTCCTTCCAAATGCGCTATAATAACTAGAATAAAAAAGAATAAGGTTCTATGGAAACGACAGCGCCAATGGAGCTCACACTCAGAAACAGTGGGAGTTAGTTGAGGAGGCTGTGAGGTACCGACTTGACATACTTGGACTCTCGTAAACGAAGTCTAAAGCTTGAAATTCTAAAGCTATCGCATTCAGATGTTGGCTCTACGACTCAATGTGAAGCAAGTGTTGGTATTTTGGCAGAATTTAACATCTCCGACAGAATCGTCGAATCGAAGCGTGTCAGTCGAACTGTTAAAGTGCCCTGACTGAAGTCTCAACAAGCGAAATCTTTGACCTCGTAATACATAGGGGCCTAACTCAGAGAGAGAATATGAGTCTTTCCTGGAAGACGCAGAAGTTGTTCTGTTCTGACTATCAAGCTAATGGCCGGTTTCAATGCGCATGAAAAGTGGAAAGGCGTAATTGAAAAGAGCGGCCCTAATGATTTCAATAATAACGACAAGAAGTCATTGCAGTTTTGTCCAAACAACGGGCTATCTGCTATGAGCATCGACCTCGAACATCGGAGGACGCATAATTACACTCTCTATAAGGAACCTTATGCACAGATGCCGATGATCGAGTTGATTATCGTACTCTCTGACTTGCGACGCTTTGTAATTGAGACTCACTTTTAAGAGAGGCGCAGAGCTGTCAACCGACCACCACCTTGTTGATGATATGCCACGCTGTGGAGAAATGGAGTACCTTGCAAACATCTGGTAGCAGAAGCAAACAGACAATCAAAGGGGAAACATTATCTTTGGCGGATACATGGGCGAAACTTGTAAACAATATCGTACGACGGTTTGAACAAATCTGTGATGAGTGTTGAGATGGAAACCGAATGGAAGCGCTTTAACAGCGGCTTACTCAAGCCTGCCGCCGAACGCTTCGGGTTAATACAGGTTGACCTGCTGCCAGAGGCTCAAAAACGAACTTCCTTGCAGACAACAGAAGTTCAACTGGCTATCAGCGAGAGTAAGGCTACATTCAAGAGGTGGGCTTGAAGCAAAAGCCTTCAACTCGATGCGGTACGAAGAACCGGACAGCGCAGCGGCGATAGCAGTGGCTAAAGCGAAAGCTGATTCATTGAAAATGTTCGGTGAGCCAAATTTCCAGACAGCAAACAGGATATTCTTGTAGACCAGCCACTGCCTCCAAGATGGAGAAAAAGACTCTCTGACAGTCCTGAAGGAAAAGTATCAACGCCTTCGAACCAAGGAAGCGGAATTCTTTGGCGATAGCAAGAGTACTTTTAGGAAATCATTAAACACGAATAACTGCAGGAGGCTCGCCTGAAAACCAGCATGTAATGAATATCAGTCTCTCAACAGAAGAAGTCGCATAAGCTATATAAGCCTTAAAGGTGGCAAGGCTGCTGAATTCGATGAAATCCCCCTGAGATGCTTAACGCTATTGGCGGAAAACGTATGTTGTGGGCACTCATGTTTGTAAAGCAGCAATGACTTTGAGGAAGACACCGTTAGCCCAGAAAACTGGAGTGATAGTGCTCCTGTTCAAAGATGGACACCGTAGAGAATACTTTAAATATGAGGACATCGCCTTATTGGGCCTTCGGGGAAAAGTGTACGCAAAAGTCTTGAAAAGCAGATACCGCGAAATAGCTGCCTTTATTCTAAATGAGTAGTGTGACTTTAGGTCAGGCAAAGGACCTCACGAGATTTTCGCCTAACTCAAGGTTGTTGAAAAATCGTGGGAGTTTGTTCATCCGATTTATACGCGCTTTGAGGACCTAGAGGAAGTCTCTCATTGGACTCTGCGCCATAATCAGTGGGCATGCCTACGAACAAATGGGGTCGATGACCAGTTCTACGAGCCACCCAGTCACTATATTTTGATAGCAGGTAGTCAGAGTAAATTGCGTTAAGTCAATATCCTTCAGCGTTATCACCGGTCTCCGCCGAGGCTGCGTCCTGCCCCCTCTCCTGTTTGCGCTGTACATGGATGGAATAGTCAGGAACAGCCAAGACGGTGAGTGTGTCGATATCGGAAATGTGAAGACAAGAAGGTCTCTCTGGTCTCTGCCCAGGGTCAGACGACCTTGTTTTATTAGCATACTCTGAAGCTGGCTTACAGTGCTCCCTAGAAAGATTCGCAGCCGAGTAAGACGCGGCCGGCTTCTGTTGAACCTGTTGAAGACCAGAATCATAGTGGTTTCTCGTTTTCCTGCTCGCTGTGCTCTGCAGCTACACGGAAAAGCGGCTGAGTAGGTAGAGGAGTTCATACACGTTCGGTCGTGTTTATCGGTGATGTAAAATGCGAGGGTGATTGACCTTCGAATTGACATTGTCAGCCGCGTTCTACGCGAATTAGCTAGAAGCGTTGTCATTAAGGAAGAGTTGAGTCTGAAAACTAATGTCTCTGTGTTCAAGTCGATTTTCATAGCCATACTCACGTATTGACCCAAGATTTTCCATCATAGGTACAATCGAGTGTAATGGGATTTCTGAGTCCAACCATTTTCTGCCGCCTCTCGACATGGCCCGGAGTTCAGGTATCTGACAGGGTCCTAGGATGCGGCTGCTGATTTTGCAGATTGACAAAACTCAACTTGACCTGGTTTCGGCATGACTAAGGAAAGTTTCCAGCAAGGGAAGCAAACCAGAAGCCACTTGCTCAACAGATATCTGAAGGCAGCGGGAACGGCAACGAACATCCTACGGTAAAAGTCTTGCAGGGCTCTGCTTCACAGTCATGTTGTCTTCAGCCATAACGCTGGCACAGGATTCGGAACGTTCGAGACGCTCTCTGAC